CACACTGGGAACAGGCTCCAGCTGTTCTTCTCCCCCACTGACGTCCGACTCCGAAGGCAGCTGATATCTATCAGATGGCCCTGGCCCCCCCTCTGCCTCCGACACAGAGCCCTCATCATCAGAGCCTTCCCCAGACTCCAGGACTGGCCCAGCTTCCTCCCCAACCTCCTCACTCTCCGAATCTGCTGCCAGTTCTGCTGCCCGCTGGCGAGCTACACGTGTGACCGTCAGAATTTCAAACTCGGGTAAAACCCTGAGGACGCCTGTTGTAACTTTTGCATCAATTTTGAAGAGGTTGTCCGTACTCTGAGGACTACCTGTTGCTGGTTTATTTGATGCTATTTGAAGCAGAAGTTAAAATTTGGTGAACAAATCACAGCGCCCAAATTTGTCCCAGACGGTTAACCAGAAACGAACTTCACCCATTTTGGGCCGCACGTAATTTATGTATGGAAGGGAGAGGTTTCACATACAAAGGCCTGCGTGTATTGGTGGACCTTGGTGTTCTCTCTGCTGATCGCTTCCACGTAGGCCTTCTTGATGAAATCCGGCGGGGAGAAATTGGGGAAACCTTGGCCCAAATTCACTGCCTTGTGTGTAGCCGCCAGTCGGGAAAATTCCACCCTAAGGGGAGAATAAAAATCATTTTAAAAATTGGCATAACCTTGGCCTAATGGTTAAGGCGCCAACCAGGCTAGAGAGCCAGAGGTCCTGAGTTCTAGTCCTGCCTTGGCCATAAAAAAGCCAACTGCGGGAATTTCGGGCCACCCCCTCTCCCAGCCTCGCCCACCTCCCAGAGTTGTTGTTGTGGGGGAAAAGAGGAGAAGGAAGACGTGCTCGATAGGTTTCCCACCTTGGATTATTTATTTAAAAAAACAATAACAAAAGGCAGGATGTAAATAAATAATATGAAATCCATGACGGTTCGACGTTAAAATGGATGCTGTTTGTGGAAAACCTTATTTCCCATGAGGAATGGGGTGGCTTTACATTTGTGTAAACTGTCCCCCCTCTCTGACAAATAGTTTGGATTTTGCGGGTGCCTCAGAGGGTCCCGGGGAGACGATGGGGGTCCTTGGGCCACCCTTAAAGAAACCCCCAAACCTTTCCCGAAGAAGCGAACGACGAACTGCCTACCAGATATTCTTGTCCACCCCTTCCAAGCGACGGGCGTGAATTGCCTTGGCCATTTTTTCCTAGATTAAAAAAGAAAAAGGAACCGATGGTGAATAACTCCATACCGTGGGCTGACCAACCCCAGCTACGCCCCTCTTCAGGTAGCCCGCGACTTACGACCGTTCATAGTTTATGACCGTGCTGAAAAAAGTCCACACACCTATCGAATGTTGCAGCATCCCCGTGCAATAATGAGAGTTTGGGCGCTTGGGAAACAAGCATATATTTAAGAGGTTTGCCTCCTTCCAGGTCATGTGCCATCTTCCCCATCAAACACAGTCAGTGGGGGAAGATGGATTCCCTTAACACAGTGTTTCTCAACCTTGGCCACTTGAAGATGTCCGGACTTCAACTCCCAGAATTCCCCAGCCAGCATTCGGACATCTTCAAGTGGCCAAGGTTGAGAAACACTGCCTTAACAACTGCATGTTTCGCATAACAACTGCAGTGACTCACTTAACAGCTTTAATTTAAAAAAACGTCAATCTGGCGTAACTTACTTAACTACCACATTGCTTAGCAACTTAATTCCGGCCCCAATTTTGGTCGTAAACCGAAGACTGCCCAGTAGTTGTTTTTCCCTTCCTTGCAAATGTAGCTGATCCCCGAAGGCCCAACCACTGCTTGCCTTAGAAAGGAGACCACTCAGAGATGCAAGGGAGAGGCCGGTCTTTAAAGCCGGAAAAACATCCTGGGAGAAAATCGGAGCCAAGGAAAATTCCAGAGAAATCCCGCAGAACTTCTGTTTTACGGAAATTGTGCACAAGTCCTGTTTTTTCCCCCCCACGCTTCAGTTACAAGGAAATATCTCAGATGTTGGTTTTTCCCCCAGATTGAGGAATATGAAAAGAGCCAGCAACCCAGAAGAACACAAACCTGTATCACACAACAAACACACCCCAGGCATCCAGGTCAACCAGCAGGAGCTCACAAACACGCCGTTTTGCACACACAGGGGAGAACTTCCCACCTCTTTTGGAAGGGGAGAAAACTTCAGAGAAATTTGCACTGCTCTTTCAAGGTGGCCCCTGTGGAAATGGGAAGTCCGCTCCGTTTCAGCTGCTGATTCTTAATAGCAATAGCAATAGCAATAGTTAGACTTATCTACCGCTTCATAGGGCTTTCAGCCCTCTCTAAGCGGTTTACAGAGTCAGCATATATTGCCCCCAACAACAATCCGGGTCCTCATTTCACCCACCTCGGAAGGATGGAAGGCTGAGTCAACCTTGAGACGGTGAGATTTGAACAGCCGAACTGCAGAACTAGCAGTCAGCTGAAGTAGCCTGCAGTGCTGCATTTAACCACAGCGCCACCTCGGCTCTAATCTTCTCACAAGACTTGGGACTTTAGGCAAACAATTAA